ATGTTTAATTAATTATGTAAATTATATGAGGGTGAGTGAATACAGTTATGACAACTATACAAATTATACCATGTACCACTGTTCTGTTCTGAAGCACCGAAAATAAAGAGTTTTTCAAACAATTCTACCTTCCCATGTCTAGTTGCACTGGCATATTTCGCACCCATTTTCCACTTTAAACCCAGTTGAACAGGACATTTTGCAACGAATGGGGTGAGTTTCACATACACCTACATTTAAACGAAAACGGTTCTGATTATGCCAGATCATAACCATGTGACATGTTCATGTGTTTAAATGCGATGTAATCATATATGTATAGGTGATTGCACAGGTCGCTTTGTTGTAAACGCCATAGATGTAGCCAGTATTTTCTAAACGCCCGAGGCCGAAGGTCGAATACAATCTTTTGCGGGGACGGGCATTTTGATTAGGACGTGCACTTAACAATATCACCGTACTGTATTACATACAATCAGGGACGGTGATGCAATGTACAAGTAATCAAGTATTTTTTCATGGGGCGCCACCACTAAATTCGCTTGTGTATAGTAACAGCTAAAACCGTCGACCCACGCCCCGTAATCTCGTCCGATAGAAATATTTGATTTAACTTCTGAAACTTAATTATACGTGCTGATACTTTTGGGACATTGTTTCCTACAACAGCATTATAACATACTTGTTATGTTAAAGTGTGTTTGAGTTTCGTTTATAAATTGCATTATTTTAGGGGAGGAAATAATTGAGAAAAAATTTATTGATAGTGAATGTATGTCCCAGAAAATAAGATGTGCGGTCGTCGGGGTCTAGGCTTTTGGCGACAGACATAGCCGGCCAATTATAATTGATCATGTTACAGTGCTTCTCTTTGTTGGATAACTAACTTATCGCATGGTGCTTTCAGGGTTGTAGGTCTATTGTGCGTAATACATTTTGAAGAAATCAAGGCTTTTGTGTAACTTATGGTGTGCGTTGAAAATAAAGATTTGTTTTTTTATATAAATGTACCTCTTCCCCGCTCGCTGTTTCCTCTGCCGCGTCCTCCTGCCACGGGTGGGCCAGGGTCTGAATAATAAAATGAAGCAATGAAAACTGTGAGACAAAGATAATTGTTTCTGTCAACAACTGAATTTGTTGAAATGATGTTATAATATCGGTTTCGAAACTCGCCTACTGCAATCATTTCAATCGAGAGAGCAAACTTCGTGAGGCGTTTTAGTATTATTTGTACAACAAATTAATCGAGAGAAAAATGGGATTGAAAAAACATATGCCGCCTTAAAAAACAACGTGACGTGAGAGAAATAATATTTTGTACAACATAACTACCCCCTCTTTAGAGCAAAAAAACAATGGTTCATCCCTTATATATCTGATACTTACCACAGTCCATGTCGACTGTGTCTAAACCACGTTTGATTGTGCCGGGTACTGTATCACCAGTCTCTGGAACTACGCAACGGCAGCTAAAAATAAAATGCAATATTTTTAGATGAGCCGATTATTTTATCGTTTACTTGGTAGTGTGTTAGTCAGACAATTTGAGTGTTTTGTGAAATCGTGTGGATTATTTCTTTTT